TATATATATATACATATATGTATATATATATATATATATATATATATATATATATATATATATATACATATACATATATATCATATACATATAAAATACATAAATTCATATACTTACATACATATAAATGTATATATATATATATATATATATATATATATATATATATATATATATATATATATATATATATATATATGTATATATATATGTATATATGTATATATGTATATATATATGTATATATGTATATAATATATTAATACATAAATATATATACATATATATATATATATATATATATATATATATATATATATATATATATATATATATATATATATATATATATATATATATATATATATATATATATATATATATATATATATATATATATATATATATATATGAAAATCACCATACATTATATATTCATATATCTAATCTATATATATATATATATATATATATATATATATATATATATATTTATCTATATCTATATATATACATATATATACATAATAATTTATACACATATTTGCATATATATACATATTAATTTATACACATATTTGATATATACATATATGTATATATATATGTATATGTATATATATATTTTTATATATATTCATGAATGAAAGAAGTTACTTTAATGGATCATAGGATTATCAAGACTTTTGCACTAAAAAATATATGCTCTCGACATCACACAAGCCCTATACTCATGAAAGGCAAGCTCCAAACAACCTCTCCCCTGATGTAAATGCGATAGACACTTTATATATATCTATATGGCAACATGCAACATAAATATTGATAGAGGGATAATAAATTTACTTTTTAAATGTATGGATCTGTAAAATATGTAAATCCATTTATTGCCATGAGCAATACATTTTTTCTATACAAACTTCAGTAAATTCCTCCACAATAAATGTAAATTGGGAAAAAAAGGATTATTTTGTATTTTTTGTTATATAAAATATTACCCATAGGTAAACGGTACCCAGAATCGATAAATCTACAGAATAAAAGACAATATTCATCTTTGCTACAACTTTTTATATAAAGATTCACAAAAATCCTCCAACATAGAGATATGCCTTGTCATATTTCAACAAACAAATCAACGTATTCATTTAAGCTTCACTGCAACAAATCCACCTTATGATATCAGATACCAAGATGATATCTCATCTCTATGAATTATAGAGCTCTTGTAAACTTTTCTGGTAAAATATTGAATGATGAACCTGTAAAGCTCTATCCTGTACAAATATAGATACGAGAAGGTGGATTGTTTGCCTTTGCTAGAGCACCAAAGGCACTGAGCTGGCAGCAATTGCTTGACACCACCATCAGGTAGTCCTGTATATCTTATATTATTATATGTCTTTTTAGTTATGAAAAACATTCCATATGAATAGTGTCTAAATAAATATTGATCTAATGATCATACGTAAAGTTTAATTCGTGCAAGATGGTTATCACAACGGCACATAAATAATTCACTTAACATTTCTCTTCCTCTTTCTCATGTATATATCACACTGTTTGGAAATTCACATAAAATGACACCATGATTCATTAACTCAAAACCTATTGATATTATGCATTTCCATGGCACAATTTTCTACTTCACTCTCTTATACTGCACTTTCGACGATGACGTACATATTTCAACAAGTACCCACGTCAACTCTTTTCCCTTTTCAAATAAGCAAACAAACTCTTGCGATCAAGCACAAACGACTATTACAGAAACATAGCAAGCAGAATAGAAGCAAACAAATGCAACTGAATACGGGTTTGCGGAGATTGCCTGCTACATCGGCACACTTTTTCTCTCATCAGACTGACTAATTCCACACAGCTTTACAAATACTAAAATAATCAAATGTTTAACAGATTACAAAAAATATATGAACCAATGAAAGTTAGTGAGGTCACAGGAGGAGAAAAACAATAATCAACAAAGAGAATCAAAGAAAACATGAATCTAGACCAGGTATGAATAACACGAACAAGAATGGAAATGATAAAGACGAGAACAAATCACTACAAACCCGAGTAAAAGCAAATAAGACTGAACAAATATAAAACATAATGAGAATGAGTAACAATAAACAAGGACAACAACAACAAAAAAACAAGAACTTCCTCATAGACTCTCCAATACCCATGGAACCCAAGACAGAAAAAAAGCCAACACCTCTTTAAGCAAACTCATCCCAATTATGACAACCTCCCAGTAAGAAAACAAACCCCACAAACCAAACAATCCAACGAAAGATACTAGAAAAACCTCAAAACAATACCCGAAATAATGATAATTTCCGATTATTGTTGAGGTCTGAGGTTTTCTCTTCTTCTAAGACCTCGTTTTCGCCTTATTTGACCTCGTTTCGTTGCTCTTACCTTATTTCTCTGCGAAGAAAATAATATCGAAGGCTGTCACTCGACGGGGAAGTCAGTCTTTCGTGACAAATAAATCGTTTTGTGTTTATGTGACGAGATTATTGACAAACACAGAACAAAAACATGGCCGACGAGACTCAACGTTCGAGTGTCGATTAAAAAATCCCAATTTTGCCGTGAATTTCCGATTTTTATGTTTGCATATATCTAAGAATTGTTGTAATAGAATTTTTTTCATTCTTGTATATTATTCAAATCCTTTCCCGGCTGGCAAAAATTAGAAATAAATGGTGATTGCATTACAATCTTCTCGTTTTTTTACTTTCTTTTACTTGAAAATTATTGCAGGAGATTCATTTGATTTTAAGATTTTTACACTTTATTTCTTCTGTTAGTCAGAATGTTTATCTTCTTTTTGTGCGCATAACGAATTTTTAGTGATTCTTGAGAAAACGTTTCAATTTGAAACAAAGATTTCAGGGGTAACTATTACAATATGATTATATTCAACAAGTGCCTATATCTTGTGGATTAATTTTGACTCCCCAATATAGAAATAGTACGATTCGTTTATTTTCTCAGTTACGCTATTTTTTATTGTTAATGAAAACAATGTGTAACGCATTTCCATTCTAAAGGTATACCGGAAATTGCGCGCTAATATGTAGACACGAGTAAGTTTGAATGAAATTATTCGAGTTATGGCGTAATAGAGACAAAGACAAAAATACACAAGTAATATCTATATCTATATATATATATATATATATATATATATATATATATATATATATATAATCAATTTTAATAATAATGGTAATGAAAGCAATGGCAATAATGACAATAATGTTAATGATACTATTGGTAATAATGATAATGATAATGATAATAATAACAGTAATAATAATAATAATAACATAAATAACAATACTATTGATAAAAATACCATTATTATTAACATCATCATTATCATCATTCTATCATTATCATCATTCTATTATTATCATTATCTTTGATATCATTGTCATCCTTATCATCATTATTATTACTATCTCTATTACAGACCCGAAGATGGAATCGAGGACGATTCCGAAACTGTTGTCTCACTTTCCTTAATAAATCTAGTTTGTGCATTGTGGGTTTTTCTTCCATATCATCAATACGGTATTGTGTTTTTCTTTGCATCTCTATTACAATAATTATTATCATCATCGTTGCAATGATTATCATCATTATTGTTATATTTACTATCATTATTATTACTACCATTTGATAAATATCATCATTACCCTTAATAATAGCATTATGATCATTGTTACTATTATCATTTCTGTTATTACTATTATTTTCATTATTCGTTATTGTCATTATCATTATCATATTTAATATTATTATCATGGTTATCATTATTATCATTATCAATATCACTACCAATATTATTGTAATTATCATTTTTATCATTATTATCATTATCATTATTATCATTACAATGATAACCATTATCATTATCCTTATTGTTACTATTATTATAATTGCTACTATAATTATTTTTATCATCATTTTTATCTTTACCATTAACGTTATCGATGTCATTATTATCATTATCATTATAATTACAATGATAATAATAATAATAATAATAATAATAATAATAATAGTAATAATAATAATAATAATAATAATAATAATAATAATAATAATAATAATAATAAAGGCAATTGCACTAACACTGACAACAAAAATAACATAATAAATTACAAAAAAATAAAAAAACAAAACACAAAAAAACATGAAGAAGACAATGATAACACACATAAAACAAATCAGACAACTTAAAATTAAAAAATAATAATTTACAACATCAACAGTAGGGAAACATCAATGCAATAAACAACAGCAAAAACAATAATAATTTTATTTCTTGATGTAAAAATTATATAAAGTTTATCTAGGTAGGATATCACATTTTGTTATGCGATCATATGCTGTTCTTTGCAGGATGAAACTGTCAGCATACGGGAGCACATATTACGTATATGCTTATGGTTCTTTTCTCTCTTTCTCTTGTTCTATCTCTTTTTTTCTGACTTTCTTTCTCTTTCACTCACTCTCTTTCTTTCTCTCTCTCTGTCTGTCTCTATATCTATCTATCTCTTTTTTCTGACTTTCTTTCTTTCTCTCTGTCTCTGTCTCTCTATCTATCTCTTTTTTCTGACTTTCTTTCTCTTTCACTCACTCTCTTTCTTTTTCTCTGTCTGTCTCTGTCTCTCTATCTATCTATCTCTTTTTTCTGACTTTCTTTCACTCTCTTTCATCTCTTTTTCTGACTTTCTTTTCACTCACTATCTTTCTTTCTCTCTCTGTCTGTCTGTCTCTGTCTCTCTATCTATCTCTTTTTTCTGACTTCTCTTTCACTCACTCTCTTTCTTCTTTCTCTCTGTCTCTCTATCTATCTCTTTTTTCTGACTTTCTTCTCTTTCACTCTCTTTCTTTCTCTCTCTCTCTCTGTCTGTCTCTGTCTCTCGATCTATCTCTTTTTCTTTCTTTCTCTTTCACTCACTCTCTTTCTTTCTTTCTCTCTGTCTGTCTGTCTCTGTCTCTCTCTCCACACACACACACATACAAATAGACAGATACAAACAGATAGACATCGATAGATGACACATATATATTGACAGGGAATGGGACCTCATGATGTACAATTACATAACTAGTAGTACAAAGAAAATATAAAATCAGTATTGCCAAAACGTCTATTATCCAGCAGACATTTATTAACGGGAGAAAGATTGAGAATTCTGCCTGTCTGTCTGTGAGGTGTTGTTATTGTAGGAATATCCTGATAGTTTGTAGAGACACAAAAAAAATAAAAATAAATAGATTGAAATTAATATTTAAAAAAATCAAAATCAGACATATGTTTACAGTGGCTATTATAATGTACTGCTCCTGAGAAATAATGCCGGATGTGTGCCTGTGAGTGAATGCATTTTTAGTTTGCATATATGTAACCTCACACATACACACACATATGCATATGTGTGTTTATATGTAAGTATGTGCATGTGTGTGTATGTTTATGCGTATGTTTATGCGTATGTTTATGTGTATGTTTATGCGTATGTTTATGTGTATGTTTATGTTTATATGTATGTGTATGTGCATTTGTATGTGTATGTGTGCGTGTGTGTGCGTGTGTCATAAGGCATAAAGCATATCAGCCGCCGTCTATAATGTAAAAATATTGCTGACATTCCAAAACAAACTTGTTATGGAAGACTGCAACGTTATCAAAAGCGTAATCCCGTAAACATGTTTTCCCGCCACAGAAAAAAAAATCAATTTAAACCCCTCGAAAACACCCTTTGAGGCGAAAGGGGGGAGAAAAAAAAAAATAACGTCAAGAAAAATCGAAAACATGAAACGAATATATAAAGAAAAAAGTTAAGTTAGAAATAAATTTATCTCTGTCGTTCGTGTCAGTTTAAAAATCCTCACATAACTGCCGCCAAAGACCCGGTTTTTGAAATTCAAATTATCCTACACTGACGTCACGTTATTCGTTATTTTACGTTGTTTTATTGCTTCTCTTTCACTGTCTTCACTGTTATCTTGTCTGTCCCTGTTACTGCATTCCGAATAACGTGTCGCGGGTTCTTCTGTGTTTCTCACTTCGTCTGGAAAAAAAAAAAAAAAATACTTTATTTAATTTCATCAATATTTCATTTCCTTTTTTGGTACGTGTTTTTTTTCATTCCTGTGTAATTTCTTATAATTACTTTATTAGTTTTAATCATATTTCATTTTCTTTTTTAAGTAAGTGTTTTTCTGTTCTGTGTTATTTCTTATTTCTAGGATTCGTACTTAATAAAAACGCGAACAGATGAATTACCAAAGATAATTGTTAATATACAATTATCTTTATAAATATGTAAATGTTATTCTTAAAACTTGTAATATCAGTCTCAAGACATTTCAATATTGATCGTTTTTTCTTTAAATCTAATATTCAAATGTTCATCTTGTTAATTCTAAAATAATTCTAACTTACCCACATAATAATTCTGCATTTATTAAAAAAACACAGACATAACCACAATAATAACACGAAACAAAAAAAATCGTAAAAAAAAACCGTTAACGAAAAATAACGGTGATAACAACCATAGTTCTTTCCTCGCTCAGATGGCGAGTGGGCGGGACACAGCCTTTCCAGCGCGAGGTGGGCGGCTAAGTAGAGTATCGCGTACACACCGTTGCCCACGCCCACGAACAAGAACGCTTTCCAACCGCCCACTAGATGGAAGAGCCATCCGCCCACAAGCCCGCCCACGCCCATGCCTAGGAAATCGTGAGAGGGTTAGTTACACCGACATTTGTATATAAACTTGGGTTTATTTTAAAACTGCTTCTTGTGTATGTAAAAATATTTTGCTACTCCTTAAATACTAACTAATAATAACGATAATAATGATAATGACAATAAAATAACAACAATAACAATATTGATAATTTCTAAAAAATAATATTAAAAAATAATCAAACAAGACGACAGAAAAAAAAACATTTATATAAGGGATCCCTCACCACCGAAGAAAACCCCGCCAAAAATGGCCTGCATGGTGGCCTCCGCTCCTTCCGGCGTCACGCTGTTCGCATAGGACGCCACACCAGCGAAGGCCACGGCGTAGGACACCCCGTGGAGGAGCTCGATGGGCAGGAACCACCAGGGATTCGTGACGGCGGCGTAGAGGCACAGACGGAGGCAGAAGGTCGAGAGGGAGAGCAGGAAAGCGTTGACGTAACCGATCTTCTCGATGAGCCAGCCTGGGAGGGGGGAGAGAAAGGGGGTGAGGGGGGGAGGGAGGAGAAAAGGGGTAAGGGGAGGGAGTAGAAAGGGGGTGAGGGGAGGGAGAGAAAAGGGGTAAGGGAGGAGGAGAAATGGGGTAAGGGAGAGGGAAGAAAAGGGGTAGGGGAGATGGAAGAGAAAAGGGTGAGGGGGAGAGAGGAGAAAAGGGGAAAGGGAGAGAGAAAGGGGGTGAGGGGAGGGAAGAGAAAAGGGGTAAGAGGGAAGAGAAAAAGGGTAAAAGGGAGGGAAAAAAAGGGGTGAGGGGGAGGGAAGAGAAAAGGGGTAAGGAGAGGGATAAGAAAGGGTGAGGGAGGAGAGAAAAGGTAAGGGGAAGTAAAAGGGGTGAGGGGAGAGGAGAAAAGGGGAGAAAGGGTGAGGGTAAGGGTAAGAGGAATAAAGGGGAGGGAAAGGGTGGGACAAAGGGGAGTTGGGCATGAGGGGGTGTGAGAATTAGGGTAGAGCGTTAAGACGAGGGTGAGGACGAAGGCGAGGGGGGGAGGGGGGGACTTTAGGTTATATAAAGCACAGTAAAAAAATAATCGTTTACTCTTAATTATCATTATTTCATTGGTCTTAGTTTTTGGAAAATGTAGTTGAGTTCAAAAATGTATTGGTTATCCAAATAAAGATGGCTGGAGCGAAAGAGGAAGAAAAAACATTAGAAATTAGGAAAAAAAAGTGAAAACAGAAACAAAAGAAAATCACATAAAAAACAACCTTAGACAATGGAAATCTACAAAATAAACAAATAATAAAAAAGTAACTAAAATAAAAATACACATGGAATATACATCTGTCTCTACCCAATCGTTATTGTCCCAAACCCATTACTGTTTTTTGTCCCAAACCCGTTATTGTTTTCGTCCCAAAACCGTAACAGTTTTTGTCCTAAACCTTCGTCCCAAAACCGTAACAGTTTTTGTCCTAAAACCATAATTCGTCCAAAACCGTTACTTTTCGTCCCAAAACCGTTGTTTTTCGTCCCAAAGTGTTTTCGTCCCAATAATGTTTTCGTCCCAAACCCGTAAGTGTTTTCGTCCCAAAACCGTTACTGTTTTCGTCCCAAAACCGTTAGTGTTTTCGTCCCAATCCCGTTAGTGTTTTCGTCCCAATCCCGTTATTGTTTTCGTCCCAAACCCGTAAGTTTTTGTCCCAAAACCGTTACTGTTTTCGTCCCAAATCCGCCACTGCTACTGTCCCAAACTGCCTCCAATCATCCATTTATATTCTGCAGGATCTCTCAGCACTCACCCGTCAGGAAAAGGCAGGGAACCTCCGCCACCAGACACTGCACCCCGAGCATGAGTCCCTGAAGGAGCTTGAGGTGGAGGAACTCGGGATCCCACGCCGCCGCCACGTCCTCCACCAGCAGGAAGTGGAAGGTTCCTATCATCCCGCAGGACAGGCCGAGGACCACCGTAGTCAGCTGAGAGGGGGAAGGGGCAAAGGGCCGGTGAGATTTTGATTTTTTTTTTTTTATTGTCATTTTCATTGTCGTTCTTTCTCTCTCTCTTTCCTTCTATATGTCTTTCTGTCTGACTCTCTCTCTCTCTCCCTCTTTCCATCTGTCTCTCTCTCTCTTTCTTCTGTCTCTGTCTGTCTGTCTGTCTGTCTCTGTCTCTGTCTCTCTCTCTTCCCGTCTTTTCATCCTTACCCCCAACCCTTTCTCTTTCCTCTTCCATCTACCTATGCCAATTCTTCCCGCAACCCTTCCCCAACACACACACACACACACACACACACACACACAAACGCTCCCACCCAACCCAAACACGCAAGCGACCCCCCTCAAACAAACAATACACAAAACACACAACCCCCCCCCTCAAAAACAACAAAATAACACACCCACGCCAATCCAAAATCCCAAAGCCAAGAACCTGACCACCGTAAGCATCACAGAGGGCCGGCGGAAGACCTCGTGCACATCCGCCCTCGAGAGCTTCTTGTCGGTGACTGAGAAGCGGAGGCGCGCGACCACCACCACGTCCAGCGCCAGGAACACGGCCACCATCACGTGCACGGGCCAGTAGTCCTTCTGCGCCTGGTCCTGAGGTAAATGGGAAGAAGAGAAAAAGAAAATAAGAGAGACCGAAAGAAGAATTGGAAAAGGAAAGAAAAGAAGAGACAAAGGAAAAGAAAGAGAAAATGGAAAAAGAAAAGGAGAGACTGCCGCCATCACGTGCACGGGCCAGTAGTCCTTCTGCGCCTGGTCCTGAGGTAAATGGGAAGAAGAGAAAAAGAAAATAAGAGAGACCGAAAGAAGAATTAGAAAAGGGAAAGAAAAAGAGAAAATGGAAAACGAAAAGGAGAGACTGCCGCCATCACGTGCTTCTGCGCTTGGTCCTGAGGTAAATGGG